GTGTATTATTTATTAAAAATATTTTAATTTTTTTTTATATTTAAAATATCAAAATATCTTAAATCCCTGATACGCGAGAAAATATGCAGCAATTATGCCGAGGGCCTGATGAAATGAATTGGATACGTGAGAAAAGGGCTCGATAAGATTAAACTTAATATCAACGTGGTGAGACCAGGACTAAAAACTTAATATCAACGTCACTTTTTTTTTTTTTTTTACCAACAAGAAGTTGGATCAGGTGATAAACGATTTGTTTTAACTTAAGCAAGATCTTGAGTTTGAGACCTTGTGTATGCAACGACTTTCGTTAGAAGACTCACCCACTATTTTTAAGTGTACGATCCGGGTTGAATCCAAATTAATCAGGACAAAACTCCAAATATCGAATGAAAAAAAAAAAAAAAAACGTCACATTTTTTTATTTTTAGTCAAGTCAAGCAGGAAGCTATTTGTCACAGTTTTATTGCATAAAAAGTAACAGTGATGTGACACAGTATAGATGTCTCCCGGGATCCACTGACCCACATAGGAAACACTAAGACCTAGTGCTTCAAATCAACGGCAAGGATAGCCTCGCTAAATGGAATTGTCTACACCGACGCGTTTGTAACTCTAAGTAAAGCAGAAAGCCACTAGTCACTGTCGACGTATAAGAATTAAGTAAATTTTTATATTGCACTTAGGTCTCACAGTTCAATGATTATAGGTCGGCTTGTAAAGTGTATTTTTTTAATTAAAAGGTTAGAGTTCGATTCTTACCTCCCCATATTTATAACTTTGTTAAAAAAAAAAGAGTAAATTTTTATATTAAGCTTTTAAATTTATTTTAAATTTTTAATTAAAATTTTAATTTTTTATTAAAATAAATAAAATTTTAAATTACAACCGTAACACTTATTATATTGGATATGATGTAGATATATCAAGATTAGGACCTTGATTTTAATTTTTGTAAACTCAATCCACTTTTTTAATATTCTTTATGTTAAAAAATTAATAAAATAAAATTTTAAATTTATTAATTTAAATAATTTAATTTTTTTATAAAAACATAATATTTGTTTATATATTATTTATATGAATTAAATTAATACTCATTACATATGTAATAATATGTTATTTTTTTATTTACTTAAGTGGTACATAAATAAACATTAATTTTACTATAAAAAAAGAGTTTAATTAACTAAATGATTAAATTCACAAGTTTATTTACTTTCAAATTAATTACGTTAATTTTGCATTCTTACTATATAAAAAAATCCAATTCAAGCGTGATTTAATTAATTTTTAATCAAATTAAATCATTTTTTCTTTGATTTAGTCATTATATTAATTCGGTTTTCAACGCTCAATTTAAAAGAAATTTTTTAATTTATATTCTTAAGGTATATATTAAATTTTATTTATTATAGTATTCATTTTAAAATTTTTTATTTTTTATTTGAAAATTACATGGAAATTTTGAGTAAATTAAAAATTATTATATTTTTAAATAAATAATTGCGTGAAAATTTTAAAAGAATTAATTTAATTTAATTATATAAATTCTACGTCAATATTAGTATGTGTTAATAAGGAGGTCCCATCTTCTCCTCCGTACTGGCTCGCACAACTATATCCATAGTGTAACGTTCCACGTCGTGCCAAACCATTTGCTGATGTTCGTGGAGCTCGGGAAGCCTCCGGTCAGGACTACGAAAAAAATTAAAAAGGCTTGCAAACATCTCACCGTCTGGCTTTTAACGGTCCAAAAAGCTGCCGTCAGCCAAGAAATGGACGGAGGGACGACATTGAGCACTTCTTCAAAAGTAGAGGGAGAAGGGCGATTTTATAATAAAAAGGTTAAATGGAACTTTCTTTTACAAAATAAAGGGGTAATTGGCTTTAACCCACACAAATATCTAATTCTCGTAATCTACTGACCCACATGAGTAACACAAAAAAGATAAAAATAAATAAATAAATAAATAAATAAATAAATAATTCAGTGTTAAAATGATAAACACAAATGTCTAATTCTCAGTGTCACCATCCACATCAGTCTTAAAGAAATAAGATCATACTTTCGGCGATTTCTCACAAGAGAACAGTAAATGATCAATAATTTCTACATCTTTTCCATAAAATCAATCATACCACAAAGGCCATACTTTTTCACGATTCCTCACCGAGGAACAGTAAATGATCAATAATTTCCTCATATTTTCCACAAAACCGATCATACCATAAAGACCATACTTTTTCACGATTTCTCACCGGAGCACAGTAAATGATCAATAATTTCTTCATATTTTTTTCCACAAAGAATGCAAAGGGAATTTTGGCCCTGCTGCAGCGGGCCTCTCCTTGTTTAAGTTTGCTTTTGACTAATTAACGTAAATTAATTGCGTAATTAAGAAGGGAAATGATGAAGGGGACAATTAAATGAGACGAATTCATCGTACTAATGATCTAGTTTCTGTTACATTATTAATGTTGTTTTGCACATAAAATTGTGTTTATTTGTGCAAAAAGATGTGAAAATTAGGAGTAGAAGTATTTAGTGTTTTTTATACTTTATTCGTTCAACTTTATTAGTAAGTTTAGTTTTTTTTTTTGTCAA